GCCCGCCCGTACCACACTACCCACTTTATGTACTTATTTAGCCATTAATTCTTCATTCATCAAGGGGAATGATTAATGTGACACATTTCTTACCAGCCACACCCATTGCTGTTGTTGTGCGTCTTAATTTTGATACCCATATTGTTTCACCAACAACAAAGTATTAGTCAAGAGGCAGACATTGTGTTGTTCTACATGCAGGAGCCTTCTAAATGCTGGAACATATTGATGAGTGAGAACAGGGCGTAAAAGGCAGGGATGTGGCTCCTTAACCCCGATCTAATGGTGATTTAATGCCCATGTTCAGGTTCCTAGAGCTCTCTGCTTCATTAACCCTGTGGTGCTTAGTACCCTAACTCGCCCATGGACAGGACAGCAGCCATCATCCATTTAGGTGTGGCACCGACAGGAAACACGAGGACTGCCTCCCTGTTGTAGATACATAGGCTAGAAATGCCTAGTGCTCATGTCCGTTCACACAAAGAAAAGTGGTGAAAGTAGACGGTCTAAGCCAAGACTTGTGAGTTTAGCTCTGTTTTTTATTGATTTCATCTGAAGGCAGGGACACTTGACAATCAGCAGAGGACCTTAAGTCCACAGCACATCATACACACACACACACACACTCGGCTGGTTGCATTTTAGTACCTCCTCAAGCACTAGGTACTAGGGGTAGCAACCTGAGTGATGAAATGACGCCTGACCAATGCTCATAGCTCCAGGACATTAAAGTAGTAATGGTGATGGCAGCTGTGGTGTCATTGGGATTATTCTAACTTGGTGTAATATAATGGTCACACCGATGGTTTTTGACTAGATAAGTCTGTACCCAGGTTTGTGCAGCAGCAGCATTTAATATGCAGTGAAACGCGTCAGTGAAAGACCCTCTCCATCATATTAGGCTCATAGCTCCCTCTTTGGTTGGGTTAAATGAAACAGAAAGGTTGACATAAATGCAACCTTGTGTGTGTGTGTGCTCTCATGCTCTTGCTATCTCTATCCCTAACTCCCTCCCCCCTCTCAGACACACACACACACACACACCCAGTCATCCACTCTTACACAGGTAGTCACTCTGTTAAATACACACACACACCATTGTATGATACATTGTCCAGTCCCTACACAAACCCTGTATATTTTCATCTACACAAAATAAACCACAAGCCGACCCCCTCCGCAGGGCTTTGTGGCTGTATTGAATAATCAATTCTCTTACGATTCCCATAATTCAACAGTGAATGATACAGTGGCTCATTGAAAAGCAACCGGTGAAGAGAAACCAGCTAGCAGACAGGCGGCTGAGTTGGCAGACAGAGCAGCGGGAGAGAGCGCTGCTTCCATCGTCCTTGCGGAGCTGAATGAGGAGAAAGAAGCTAATTGACTTCAGTCCTCGCTCACACCTACTGTATGACTCATGCATAGTCATGTTCTAACAGCCAGCTAGACACACCGTAGTAAAATTGCTAAAAGCAATACTGTAATTTTATTGCAAAGCAACCAATAAGAAAAATGTTATCTCTGAAGGAGGTGTTGGTACAGTTCATAGAATGCATAGGGATTAAACACAACGACACTTCTACTTCACTTCCTCTCCACAAACAGAGGAAAGGCCATGGCAGACAGACAGCGTCTAGCCCCATGCCCCACTACCGGCATGTAGACCTGTAGCTCTCCTCTCCTCTCCTCTGTTCGTACCTCTCACAGACGTGTCACCTGCTCTCTTGGAGTTTGCCTATCCATTAAGCGCCCCGTCCAGCCATGCTTAAATAACGGCGGCCGCCACTCCAGGTCCATTAAGATGCCACGCCGCCCGCCCAGCATCCAGACGAGAGCAGAGCCCCCTCCCCGATGTACTGTGGCCTGACTGTTAGAGAGAGAGCGTTCCAAAGCACCAGCGCAGGAGTGAGACTAAGCCACCCCCCGTTCCTCTCTTCCTCCTCCACCACCACCTCTTTTCAGGTGTCACTTTGGGCCGACTCAATTTTACACTGTAATAGACCTCCTGGGTGAGCTACTTTTCTCCTCTGCTCCCACCTTCCTTTTTTATCTCTGCGCCTCCCTTCATCCGTCAGCCCTTCACCTTGCCGCTGCTTCTAACTCCCCCCTACCCCCCCCCCCCCCCCCCCCCCCCCCCCCCACCCAGACTGGACCGTCTGCCTCACTTTGGAGCACTTAATTCCAGTTAACGCTAATCAGCGCTACTGCACTTCCCCAACACACAGTAGGCCCAGGAGAAAGACACTGTCTGTTCACCTCTGTTTGTACCCCTTTCTCTCTCTCTCTCTCTCTCTCTCTCTCTCTCCCTCTTTCGCTTTCTCTCTCTTTTTGTAATGACTCAGTGTCCTCCAGTCCTTCTTTTTCCTCTTTTCTTCCAAGCAGAATAGAGTATCTGGTATTATTTAGTTGTCATGGGTTCAAATACTGTATTGAATTGCAAACCGCTTAAAACATGACAGACTCTAAAAAGCTTGTATGTTTTGAAAAGGAACGTTTTTTTTTTTTACTTTGACTAGTACAGCATATACTGTAGTTCATATCGATTAATTGTACTCCTTGTCTCTTTTGCTCTTAACAAAGAGACAACAACCCTCATATTTTCTCTGACCCCAAGATTGCAGCTGACATCTGGTTTGCACAACAGCACGGTAAACACAGTTCTTCTCAGAAAGACTGCTGCACTATTATGTCCATTTGTGTGAATGTATATATTGTAGGAGGTATACTATTGTGGTGCTGAAAAGAGGGCAGGCAAAGAACTGAATACATGTTACTGTACCACACTAGTGTGTGTGTCTGTGTGTGTGTGTCTGTGTGTGTGTGTCTGTGCGTGAAGGTATATCAGAAGTTAAAGGGCAGTCTGTCTGCAAGAGCAGTGCCATCAGGATTAATGCACAAACTCAAACATACACACGGTCATGTGTGTGCATACACTCTCCTACACAGCCCTCCTGTGTACCATTCACTTAACAGCATTAAACAGGTCTGGGTTTTACGGCCATAGTAGTGTTATTATTGTGTGGGGGGAATCCGGTTACCTCCTAGTAGTAGTAGTTGCACATTAAAATGGGAGAAGTGGGTTCAGACCTGGGTTCAAGTAGTATTCAAAAAATGTCAAATACTTTGAGCGTTTGCTTAAACCTGCTAGGTTGGGTGGTTGTACTTTTGGGACATTTTATTGGTTCCATTGCAACGGGTAAGCTCAATCGAGCACATCTAAAGTATTATACATTATTTTGAATAGTAGTTAAACCCAGATCTGGTGGGGTTAAATGGGAGCTCCATTCAGCGTAGAGGTTTAGTGTTTCCTTCTAGCATGTCCAGACCTCACCTCATCCCAGACCTAGGTCAAAGGCCTGCTAAGATCTTACATTCCTGCAGTTGTCCTCTCCTCCTTTCTCCCTCTCTCTTTCTCAATCTCGCTCTCTCCCTTCCCCCTACTTCCTTCTCTCTCTCTCTCTCTCTCTCTCTCTCTCGCTTTCTCCCTTCCACCTCTCTTATTCCCTCAATTTCCCATGTTTCTGTTTGCCCCCAAAACTACTCAAACCATTTTCATTTCTCAACTGGACGTTAATTGTTTGTGTGGTAGCCCTGAGGTAGTGGGCATGCTCTGTCCACTGTGCTGTCTCCAGAGCACCCTGTATTGTTACATTAGAGGGAGAGAGGAATGCTTGTCAATCAAGCCACCTTAAATGCCTCAAGTCCTGGAGGGATTCCAGTGAAAATTGGCCCTAATCAATGACCCCCTTTTCATTGATAAAAGAAGAGGGAGGAGAAGATGTTGTGGGGGAGAAAAAAAGCTAAAGAAACAGTGCTAGAGAAAGCCAGAAGGGAGTCTTGCCAGTATTTATTTGCACAGAAGCACCGTTACAGCCTCACTGTCAGAAGATTTAAGGACAGGCCCCGTTTTGTCTCATCTTGTTGTTGTTGTTTTTTTACCTCGCTCTCCCTCTGTTCTCTCTCTCCCTCTACCCCATTGCTCTCTTCACCGCTCACATGGTTGCTTGATTTTTCCTCTCACTACCTTTTCCTCATCTCTGTCTCCTCTTCTCTTCCCCTCCCTCTCTCTTTCTCTTTCTCTTCCTCCCTCTCTCCCTCTCGTTCTCTCCTGGGTGTGGAGGGGAGACAGTGATTGATCCAGGGGGAGGGCTGTCTCTGGGTCTCCCTCGTGTGTTTATGAACATGAGTCCGCCTCTCCTCATAGATTTTTAAATTAGTGGCAGCTTTGCCCCAAAGATGCGTTATTGACTGATGAAATAGAAGCTGAGCTCTAAACACTCACTCTTTCCCCAGAGTTTTCCCCAGTCTAGTAATTGAAATGTGTGTGTGTGTGTGTGTGTGTGTGCGCGCGCGCTTTATTCCTGTGTGTGACTGTATATCTCTGCTGGAGAAAAATTAACACTACTTGTTGGGCTCGAGACTCAATTGAAGTATAAAGCACATCTTTATACCTTTTTATGTGCTTAGAAAATAGATTTTGAAAACTTAGCCTCAGTTTGTTTTATGAAGGCCTTAGCCATATTAAAGTGTCCATCCCATTGTGTTGACGGTTCCCTGTATGCTAAAACAGTCCTTAGCCTGTCTGATGTCACACTGCTCACATCATTTGTCATTGCGCTCATCTTGGTGCTGACCTCTTGTGGTAAAGGATCACAGTTGCAATGTTCAAGCCTGTGTGCTTTTCCCAGTGGCGTTTTACAATGACCGAGACCTCGTTTGGTTTAGGATACGTATTTCCTTATAAAAGATCTGACAGATCTCAAGAAATGTGCATCATTGTACAATGAACAAGAATGTTGAATATCCATAGAACAAAGAGATGAAAATAGTCTTTATTCAGGACTAGGGCCAGGAATTATCTGTAATTTCACTACATGACTGTCAACATGTTATATTTTGTCAGATTTCTTCTCAACATTATCTCCTGCTCAATTGAAGATACAAACCAGACTAAATGAGAAAAGAAAGCTTACCTTGTCCTCTCTCTCTCTCTCCATTAGGCTCGGACATGGCCATCTTCTGCCTGCTGTGTGGGAAGCGCTTCCAGGCGCAGCCGGCGCTGCAGCAGCACATGGAGGTCCACGCCGGTGTGCGCAGCTACATCTGCAGCGAGTGCAACCGCACCTTCCCCAGCCACACGGCACTCAAACGCCACCTTCGCTCGCACACAGGTCAGTGGCAGTGGCGACGCATACCATCTAGGAGCAGCTACACTATATATACAAAAGTATGTGGACACCCCTTCTAATTAGTGGATTTGGCTATTTCAGCCACACCTGTTGCTGACAGGTGTATAAAATCGAGCACACCACCATGCAATCTCCATAGACAATCATTGGCAGTAGAATGGCCTAACTGAAGAGCTCAGTGACTTTCAACGTCGTACCGTCATAGGAACCCACCTTTCCAACAAGTCAGTTCATCAAATTTCTGCCTTGCTAGAGCTGCCCCGGTCAACTGTAAGTGCTGTTATTGTGAAGTGGAAACGTCTAGGAGCAACAACGGCTCAGCCGCGATGTGGAAAGCCATCCCAGAAGACTGGAGGCTGTTATAGCAACAAAGGGGGGACCAACTCCATATTAATGCCCATGAATTTGGAATGAGATGGTCGACGAGCAGGTGTCCACATACTTTTGGTCATGTAGTGTATGTGAACTCCCCCTCTATCCTAGTGGACTAGGACACACTCCAATAGGCTACTCATGTTCTCTCACACTAACCAGTAAACTCAAACACCTCTGACTACCCTACTAACATATGACGTTGTCACAACGTTGCAGATAGATTGTGAGAAGGTTGGTCATCACATTAGGCAATTTGCGCTGTGACAACATCATTTTGCAATGTTGTGGCAACCAGTGAAAACTACACATAGACCTGCTAAAGACTGACAGGGAAAAGGTTGTCAACACAGTACCCTTAGGTCAACAGCTGTAAAGGAATCCATATTTCTTATGATGACGTGATGGATTGTCCCGTTGACAGACATGGGTGACAGTATATTCGACAAGTGGCGATGTCTCAGTAGTCTAGCATCAGTTTAAACTCTAGAGCCCTGCAGGGCAACAACACGTGTCTCACCACATCATGCTCATGGTTCTGGCTCCTGAACATGGTTGCCTATTATCTAACTCACTACAATGTTTCTTCCTAGAAGGAATTGTGTAATCCCGGCTCTAAAACACATTTAGTGTTTCCTAGTAGGCTAGTCTACTATTTGCATGGCTGGCTGAATAAACAGAGAGATCTGGTCATTTGCTGAATAAATTCATACCATGATCAAACGGAGCTGCTATATACCTCCAGGCTGGCTCGTTGGTGAGGAAAGGCCATGTTAATACTGTCTGTTGTGAGAAGGACGAGGCTGGAGAGAGTGCCTGGTGGATGAGGTGATTTAGGGAGAAGCCCCTGTTACCGTGACAGAATATGAGAACATGGAAATGAATCCCATTTCGCTTGCAAAGGATAGACACTCTCATCTTCCCTTTTTTTTCCCTCTATCCTCCGCCGTCTGTCTGCGACCTTAAATAACAGTCTCTCTGTCAGAGCTGATCTAGCTCACTGGCTCACAGATAAATATTTGAAACGAAGGCGGCGAGATGAGCGCAGCCAACTTATTTACAAGCCGAGGTGCAGTGATTTAGTGCGACTGACAAGATGAGGTGGTCCTGTATACTGTACTTCCGCGTCTGCTACTCTGCTTTCGCGCCAAACCTCGGGAGAGGACCAATGACGTATACAGTGCATTAGGAAAGTATTCAGACCCCTTGACTTTTTCCACATTTTGTTACGTTACAGCCTTATTCTAAAATGGATTAAATTGTTCTTCATCAATCTACACACAATACCCTGTAAGGACAAAGCAAAAACAGGTTTTTATACATTTTTGCAAATATAAAAAAAATAAAAAACAGAAATATACATTTACATAAGTATTCAGACCCTTTACTCAGTACTTTGTTGAAGCACCTTTGGCAGCGATTACAGCCTCGAGTCTTCTTGGGTAGGGAGCTATAAGCTTGGCACACCTGTATTTGCGGAGTTTCTCCTATTCTTCTCTGCAGATCCTCTCAAGCTCTGTCAAGTTGGATGGGGAATGTCACTGCTCAGCTATTTTCAGGTCTCTCCAGATATGTTCGATCGGGTTCAAGTCCGGGCTCTGGCTGGACCACTCAAGGACATTCAGAGACTTGTTCCGAAGCCACTCCTGCGTTGTCTTGGCTATGTGCTTAGGGTCGTTGTCCTGTTGGAAGGTGAATCTTCGCCCTAGTCTGAGGTCCTGAGCGCTCTGGAGCAGGTTTTCATCTCTGTACTTTGCTCCGTTCATCTTTCCCTCGATTCTGACTAGTCTCCCAGTCCCTGCCGCTGAAAAACATCCCGACAGCATGATGCAATCTTGGTTTCATCAGACCAGAGAATCTTGTTTCTCATGGTCTGAGCGTTCTTTAGGTGCCTTTTGGCAAACTCCAAGCGGGCTGTCATGTGGCTTTTACTGAGGAGTGACTTCCGTCTGGCCACTCTACCATAAAGGCCTGATTGGTGGAGTGCTTCAGAGATGGTTGTCCTTCTGGCAGGTTCTCTCATCTCAGCCAAGGAACTCTGTCGTTCTGTCAGACTGGTCATTGGGTTCTTGGTCACCTCCCTGACCAAGGTCCTTCTTTCCCGGTTGCTCAGTTTGGTCGTACGGCCAGCTCTAGGCAGATTCTGGGAAGTTCCATATTTCTTTCCATTACCCAATGATGGAGACCACTGTGCTCTTGGAAACTTTCAACACTCTAGAAATTGTTGTATACCCTTCCCCAGATATATGCCTCATCACAATTTTATCTCGGAGATCTACGGACAGTTACTTGGAATTCATGGTATAGTTTCTGCTCTGACATGCACTGTCAACTGTGGGACCTTATGTAGACAGGTGTGTTTCTTTCTAAATCATGTCCAAACAATTGAATTGGCCACAGGTGGACTCCAATCAAGTTGTTGTGACATCTCAAGGATGATCAAAGGAAATTGGATGCACCTAAGCTCAATTTGGAGTGTCATAGGAAAGGAGTGTGAATACTTATGTAAATTAGATACTGTATTTATGTATTTCATTGTCAGTAAATGTACAAACATTTCTAAAAACATGTTTTCACTGTCATTATGGTGTATTGTGTGTAGATGGGTGAGAGAAAAATAAATATTTAATCAATTTTGAATTCAGGCTGTACCACATGAAATGGGGAATAAGTCAAAGGGTATGAATACTTTCTATCTCACAGCTGCAAGCACAATAGCTAGAGCAAGTACAATATACACAATATACGCATGCTTGATAGATCATTGTTTCGGTAGACCGATAGCTTTGGAAAGCAGCTTCGCTGATGTCGCCCTCTGTTTGACATTGGTTCAATATTGATGACAGAGCGAGGCAACAGATTTAATTTAGCTTATTACAGTGTATCAATCTCCCATTTATTTATTCCCTGGAGAAGGTTACGCTAACCCCACAGTCTGTTTCCCTCTCACTTCTTCCACTCTGTCTCTCTATTCATCTGTAATCCCCATTTTTGTTCTCTATCTGACACATTCTATCTATCCCTCTCCCTCTTTCTTCCCCTCTCTCGTTTCATCTCTGTTCCTCAAAAGAGAGGCTGCACACACACAGGCACACACACATGGACACACTGTTGTACAATGGGGCCTCATAATGATGGCGGCCTCCTCCGTCCTCCCTCCCCTCTGCGCTTGCAGACGCGCGCCCCGGTCCCTCGTTAATATTCCGTTGTTGTGCGACGGTCGCTTGTGTATTTTAACTCTGAGCCCATTTGCCGTCTGTGGCGGAGTGTTTTGTGTTCGCAGCTGTGTTTGATAGCGTCAGGCTAGAGAGAGAGAGAGAGAGAACGATAGATAGAGGGAGAGAGAGGGCCCTGGCAGTGACAGAGCCCCCTGATTTACCGACGCTTATCGCATAATGAACCAGCCCTCGGTGCCTACGGGCACACGGCGCTCACGCCAGCACCTGGGGGAGTGGGGATAGACTGAAGTGGGGTGGGGGCATGGGGGTTGAGGCAGCAGGTACACCCCCAGGGGGCATGGAAACGCAGGTGGCAGCACCCAGGGTACCCAAGGGTCCACTCCTAGTCCACTGTTCTGCCTCAGTGTGCTGGGTCCTCATCTGTGCCCCCTCGCTGTCATTAGACCCCAGCAGGCACTGTGTCTGTCTGACAGACACAGAGAGAGAAAGGGAGAGAGAAGGGGGAGCAGCAGAGCGGTGCAGTGAGAGAGACGGCGATATAAAGAGTTGTGGGAGGGGAAAAAAGAGGGAGGGAGGGAGGGGGGAGAGATGGAGTGAGAGAAGGAAAAGGGAAAGGAGGGAGGGGAGAGAGAGAGAGGGACAGAGCGAGAGAGATAGTGAAAGCCTTCTGATTTACGATGCTGTATCTCCAGTGCCTGGGAGCGTAATGTATTACTGACTAAATGAAGTCCTGCCTGGCCTTTGGATTGCAGCACAATGTGATTATGGCATTGTCTTACATTTGTTAAAGTCAAACATTGACTTTTTGCATAAGGAAGCAATGAAGTCCCCTCCCTGATAATAACAATGACATTTTGTTAGTTTTATATATATATATATATATATATATAGTATGTGTTATAACACATTGTCTGTGTGAATTTGAAGGTAAGTAACCTTCCATAGTCTGTGCACTGAGCATTAGCATGCTCTCCTCCAGATCTGTCTGATTGGGGCTCAGCCTGCTCCTAATTAAAGGCAGGTGAATCTCAGCTCCATTACTATTCCTGTAGCGTCGTGTGGGCTCCGCCGTGCTCTGTCATGGATTGTGATCTCTGCAGTGGCTGAAACGCTAGAAAAGAGCACAATGTCTTACAGCGGGAGCCACTGATAACTTCATGCAAACAAATAAAGACTGTCACTTTTATAGATTTTTCCCCTCCCCCCTTCCCTCCTCATCCCTCCACTCTTGATTCTCCCTCAGTCTCTCCCTCTCTTTCTCTATATATCTTTTTTTCTCGCTCTCTTTTTATCCCTGCCCTCCCCCCAACCAGAAAGCGTCAAACTCGCCGGGCGTCGCATCACCCCAAACAGCCGCCGCGTCCAAATGTGAATAGCATTTAAGGCGCATCTCTCTCCAACGAAAATACGTGCCAGAGGAAATTGACATTGTCTCTTGACGGGGGTGATGGGTGCCCGAGCATGACAGTACATAACGAGAAATGCAATTTATTCCCTGGCACGGTGCCTCTCGGACAGCTAGATAATGAAACGCGTAGGTCATTGGCGATGACTTAAACCTTCAGCGGTGGAGTGAAATGCATTAAATATCGAGAACATTACACGCCTGGCAGCATGGCGCATCTGTACCGGGGTGCGAATGATGTATGAGCAGCTGCTAGTCAGACACAGGAAAGCAATTAGTCACCGAGTGTTGGAGAGAGCCTCCGCATATCATAATATCCCTGATTATTGACATCTAAATATCCATTACACGAGTGTCCCCAGGGTGGCAAGGGTACAGTGCTCTAACTTGACCTACAAAAAGGGAGAACTTGAGTGGACTGGAACAAGTGTTTTTACAAATGATGTTAGAATGTTGTCCCCGATAGCTCAGTGTGATTGCGAACCTATTCTAGTCTTTGTCACGTAATATTCATCTTCTCATTAAATAGAAACACACTTGTACTTCTATAGCTTTCTTTCTGTATGACCTCTGTTATGTTTGTATATTTGCAACTGTAACACAAAGCTGTGAGTGCACTCCAATTTGGTTGTTCCCTTTTATTTATTTTATGTGTCTCTCTATCTTAGTTATTACATGAAGGACTGCAACTCAATCAAACATGATCAAATATTGTAGGAGAAATATCTTTGGAATTATGTTCAATTGTTATAAAGGGAGTCTGTGTTGTCCCCTTGTTCAGCAGGTGACCATCCGTATGAGTGCGAGTTCTGCGGGAGCTGCTTCCGTGACGAGAACACTCTAAAGGGCCACAAGCGCATCCACACCGGGGAAAAGCCCTATGAATGTAACGGCTGTGGTAAGAGGTTCAGCCTCAAGCACCAGCTGGAGACCCACTACCGTGTGCACACAGGTATGCATCATTAGAATCACAATGGACGGGAAAATCACCGGATATATGTAAACTCCGTTAAACTGGGAAAATGTTAACTCTGGTACACTGGGAAAATATCAGCTCTGTTACACTGGGAAAATATCAGCTCTGTTACAGTGGGAAAATTGTACAAGCTTTCATGGCTTGTACAACAAATAGAGTAAAAGGGTTAGTGTACCATGCTAATAGTTTCTAACAGTACAGTTCCCTCTGGAGACTAGTTAACTCACTGGAGATCCAGCTCGGCTCCATAACAGATTGAATTCAGTGTTGTAACACAGAAGAAGGGGAAGTGTATGACAAGTGTTCAATAGTTTTATACTGGGCATTAAGATGGGCTGGGAGCAATGTGCGCAATAGATTGCTCATTTTACAAAGCATACTGTACACAGACTGTTTTTATGAATGATTCCAAGGGCCAGTAAACAGAGGCTTGCGGAGGAGCCACCATATTGATCCCAGGCCTTTACAGCTCCATAAAGGTGTCAATCAGCCGCTGGCACTTGTCACTCTCGTGATTTACGTCCCCAGACATGAGGATTAGGGGCATGTGCTGTGAGTCAGTGTGCCATGAGGGACACACACCACCTAGTATCCCAGGTCTGCTGTTGAGCCAAGGTTTTACCTGCTTCAACCCTCCACCAACACTCCTCCCCTGTCTCCCATTCAATAAGCCAGCTGTTAAGCCGCACTATCAAGACAGCCTGTCAAATAATTGCCCCCCCCCCTTTCCCCTTTTGTGGGGCCAGGGGCCTTAATTCGCGGTGAGCCAAAGCGCACTGGAGATAACAAGAGCAAGTGACAAGCTGACAGTCAAAGGCCACCGCGCACAAAAGGGGGCCGCTTGATGAATCATCGACATTGGCAACCTCCCCCCTCCTTCCCCCCTCCCCGAGTCCCACCTGTCAATGGCGGATCAATACTGGTTCCCATTTGCAATTCATTAGTGCCCAATTATCTGAGGCGACCCTGTTTACAGTGTGGTTATTGTATACACTGCTGGCACGTGGGGCCTCGGCAGTCAACACGCACTGTAATCACCATCTTCTTGGCATGGCTATTTGCGTAGGCAGGTAAACACAACCCTGACCCCCTTCCCACAGGTCAAGTTTGGCCAGGTTCGACGCTTCGAAAAAATATATAGGAATAGATGCAGGGACACATCAGAGATATCCATCGGCATCCAGCAACGAGATGCCTCTCTCTCTGTAACGTGGTGTGAGTGTCGGTATAATTCACAGCCCCGATCACATCCAACACCTCATTTCAAATGCCATTGGTAAAGGTCGGCATTTACATGTCTAATTTGCGCCTGTCGGATTGAGCGCCGGGGATTATTCCTAGCCATCCCTCTAATCATTTACACGTTCAGGAGGGGCGTGGTCCTGAATATCACATGCACTGGAATGTAGCTGCTTTGGAACAGTCGAGAATCAGATGTAATAAAATGTAAGTTGTGATTTGATGTTCCAAAATGGCATAGGTCCTATTGGTGATTTGATGTTAGACATTAGATGTGCCAAGTATACGTCAGTGTAACTGGATAGGTGGGGTTTAGTTTATAAAGCACATTATAGGGTTAGTTGAGAGATTGATTCTAAAGCCATTGCTGCGCAGCTGCACTATATGAAATACCATTATCCACATGCAGATTTCAATTTGGCCATGGGTATTTTATAGACATGATAGTCATTGCTAATTGAGACCACTAGATGCCCCCTTCCTGCTAGCATTGGCACGCAATAGTGAGGAAGCACTAAAAGAAAGTTGATACTATAATCTGCGACAGGTGGTCACACCTTGACAGCCTGATCTTATCTGTCAGGTTTGCCTTGTAAATGTAGGATCGACTGACTGTATAATGTGTCATATAGAGTTCCCTTCCTCAGCCTGATGTTGTTGTTGTTGACATGTCCGATGTTGTTGTTGTCACCCCCTCCAGGTGAGAAGCCGTTTGAGTGCAAGCTGTGCCACCAGCGATCCAGGGACTACTCGGCCATGATAAAACACCTGCGCACCCACAATGGCGCCTCGCCCTACCAATGCACCATCTGCCTGGAGTACTGCCCCAGCCTCTCAGCCATGCAGAAGCACATGAAGGGCCACAGGCCCGAAGACATCCCCCCGGACTGGAGGATAGAGAAGACCTACCTGTACCTCTGCTACGTCTGAGGCCACCAGACAACAGCCGGGGGGAAGGAGGGCGGGTGGAGGAGGGGGGCGTAGGAAGGAAGAGGAAGTGGAGAAGGGAGTGAGAGGAGGAGGAGGAGTAGGAGGAGAACGAGGCCTGTGGCAAAGAAGTCAAGCGAGGAAATCCACGAGACGGAAGCACAGGCGATTTTCTAATGCAAAGAGAGTGAATGACAGAGGGAGGAAAAGGGCTAGGCAGAGGAAGACTGCAGTTCTGACCGAGAGGACATTGCCCCTTCAAAGTCACATGTTGTTAAGTACATCCATATACGTTTTGTTTCGAGTTGTTTTCAAATTGCCTAATGCAGAACCCATGGGTGTACCCTCATCGATGGACCTGCATCAATGGAGTTTGTTGTCCTTAATTCTACCCACAGACTCGAGAGATGTCACCCAAGCCACACCTGAAACTGAACTAAAATTATTCTTAAAGGTTATGTGAACCCACACATCCCCATCATTTAGACCACTGGCCATCCCTAAATGTAGTTTTGACACCCTCACCTTTTCTGGTATGGGATTGTATCCTACTGTAACTTGGTGGGTCAATCCTCTCATTACCTGATACTACAGAACCCTTCCTGATTTGATTGGATTAGACTGGACACCAAGTCATGTTCTGCTTGAGGAACATCTCAAAGTTGACCCCTACTACCCATCCCATTGTTTACCAGAGTGCTCCAAAATGGCGTCTTCAGACCTGGTGGCACAGAGCACTTAGAGCCCCTACAGTGGTGTAGTGTCATTCAGATAGCCGCCGAGAATCAGAGCCTAAAGGCCGGCTCATGCTTCACATGTCAGCCAGAACTAAGACAAAATAGCACCATGTACAATTCAACATAAGCAAAGTTGAATTGGATTGGGGCACAACACCTCTGTACCCACGCAGAGGGTTATCTTTTGTTCAGCAAGGGAGATGAACGGAGGATGATATTCCCATATCGGAAATCTCCTCTTTCCGGTGAGCTTCCGGGCTTCTGTTGGATGAGAGCTGAAAACGGCTGAGGCCATTGGTCTGGTTTCGCCGGAGCCTCTCGGGAGTCGAACCATGACTGTCCATTTTTTCTTCTCCTTATCTTTGGCTCCGCATCATGGTTTATCATAGCTTCATTGCACAGGTAAATACATATTACGACGACAGTCTCTGTTTGATGTTTCTATCAGATATATTTTTGAGGGGTAGCTCGCGGCGAAGCCGCTGCTCTGTTATCTCTTAAACCGTTATTCTCTATACAGCATTAACTGGAGATGTCTAATTTCTTTCCGCTATAGATACTGGATTTATATTAATATAAATGTAGCACACTAAAATGTAGCACATGGTCTGACTCATAACATTAACTATTTTCTCACATTAATAATCTCATAATCTCTATATGCCATGGTGAGGGAGACCAAAATGACAAAGGCTGCTGTGGATTGCGGTAGGGCGCTGTGACGTGGAGGGGTAGCACCAGTAACACCTCCGAGGGGTGGTCGTAAGGCCTTCATGATGCGATTATAAGGAGATATGGCACTTGTTATAACAGGTCATATGTACTGTTATGACGCGTATAACCATGAATGTGATGCCAGGTGGAAATTTGTTTCATAAAATTGTAATAGTGCTATATCAATAAAATAAGTTGTCATAACCTGTTCATATGGCAGCATGATGAAGGTATTATGAGCACCACTGTCAGTTCAGTGTTACCGGGGGTAATCACACTCAATTATTAGCAGGGGAGGGGGATGGGGGACTAAAGTGATTGGAAGAGACATGGCCTGCCCAGCCCAGGGGGTGACCAGTAAGAAGACAGAATAAATCAACTCTTAATATATGGTTTTGTTTCTTCGCTTTGTCTCTGTTTGCTATTATATCTTGATTTATCTCAGCACATTGTACTTGAATTACCTCGTTTTTTGTGACCTCATGTGTTTGTTTTTAGTTCCCTTATTTGTTTTTTTGTTTAATTTTGTACATTTTCTTACTTTGTTTTCAGCGTGTGTCCGAAAGCCGCGTTATTGCGCGAGGGAGATGTGATAAAGCAATGTGTACGCAGAAATGAGTTCCACGGTGAAAATAGATTTTTATTGTTGTGTATTTTTGTGCATTATTGTTACCAAACTTGGTATTTTTTTATTAACCCTGCTTGTTGAAGAGCTGGTGGGTTTGGTCATTCTTATAAAAGCTACCTCTAAGTTGTTTTGTTTTCATTTTTGTAAAAGCACATTCTTTTGTGTGTTTGTGTTTTGCATCATTGCAACTTCATCTCATGCTTTCAAGTGTTGACTTATTTTTTTTTCATATGTGTAAGTGACATTTATATAAAGGGTAAGAGATGGTAAGATTGATGGGGGAAAATAAAACTTGTGTTTATTCTTCTCTTAAAGTCCCCCCCTGACAGTAACCTTAAGAGCAGAGAAGAGATTTTGAAGCCTTAAGTATGGGGTAAGAGGGATGTACACAGTAGAAGAAGTAATAGTAATTTTAAGAGTTTAAAAAAGCATTAAACTTGAAAATATGAGAATAGAATTGTAGTTTTGTAATGTGAAAAAAAAGGTTCACCAATGCTGAAGCACCAAGAACAGGTCGTATATGCAGCGATGCAGCGATGCAGTGTGCGTTGGACAATTGGGACTGCAAGTGGTAATCAACGAAAAAAGGAAGGTTAGAAAAAAGAGATCCTCTTGGTCGACAAGTTATCTCGAAATGAGTGTATTCCTGAAGAAGAGCCAACAGAGGCAGTTTGATATATCAAAATTGTGATATTTTTGTATTCAGTGTCCCTTTCCATTTGTCGAGGGTTTCAGCAGGGCAAATATTTGTATATATTTTTTTTTGTACCTAGTTTTTTCTCTGGTTTTGAATCGTTTGCCTTGCTCCTCTTTGGTAATGTTTAACGTGTGTATGTGTGAATATGTAGTACTAAGTGTTGCTTTCTGGATGTCAATGCGTTGTAGGTGAAGGACTAAATCTATCTGCCATAAACGTGCGTGTGAAAAAAATAGAATTCTAAATAAATTGCAGGGATGCTGCCGTCGGTCAATTAGTACACGTCATTAACAATTTTCAATCAACTTTTATTGCCAACATTTTGTTTTTGTACTTGAAGTGACAAAAAAAATAAGTAATGGCATGTACATTGTATTATCGAACACTGTGAGCCGAGGGATTTCCCTCGTCCAATATTCATCCACTATAATAACTTCAGTCACCAATTCAGAGTGCCAGGCCAGAGAGCCTGAAACGATCTCATCAAACTTAAATAACTAGAGTTATTCAGTCTCCTATCATTGTTCTCTGAATGTTTTATACTTTTTTTGTGTGAGTGTGTGCATAAATGAAAGTGTATCTGTGGGTGCGCGTGTGTGTATTAGTGAAAAATTCACTAATCAGATCAGACACAAAATAAAAACAATGCTCTATGCCACTTTTCTCTCAACATGTTGAAAAAAAAATACATTGGCATTGATATAGTTCTTCCCTCAATGTTACTCTGATGTTTCTGTAATATCGTTGTGCCTAAAATGGAAATTGTAAAACAAAAATGTCCATCTATATCTGCTTAGTTTCTGTACTTTCAGAAGATAATTAATGGTGTCTCCAGCACTCTAGGGATGTCATGACGATTTGAGATGACCTGATTTCTGATTTAGAATAAAAAAGGAGTTGTTCTGGAGGGCTGCATTAGCCTAAAATTGGTAGTGGGGAAACCACCTTTGATGTTTTTGTTTTTTTATTTTTCATCTGTAATTGACACCCAAAAGCAATGTAACTCGTTTATGCACAAAAAGCAAGGAAGAAAAAGTGTCCCAAAAAGACAGACTATGGAGCTTGAGAGTATAAGACATAAAGATAATAAAACATTCACGGGCCATGAAAATTGTATGCATTTTGCTTTTTTAATCTGTTCTGAAGGACTGTTGCCTGTTCATTTAGGAAATCAAAGTCTAAGTATGTTTTTTCATTAATCATATTTTGCTGTCAGCAACAGGTTTGCTGAGCAGTTAATGTCCTTCCAACCTCCACTTTGGCAGCTTGTCAAACCCATAGCGTTGCCCCAGCTTAACATTACGACTTGTTTGTTATGAAGTACTTGCTCTTGAGATAAGAAAAAAATGAAAAGATGAGCCGTACGAAATCATGGCATCCCTGGAGTAGGCACTCTGTGTTTCAGTGTGGTGTTCTAGAACGAGTAGCCATTTCATGCAGTGTTGCCATGCATGTGCCATTTGAGGTCTAGACTAAACTGTGTGAGTATCAAAGCACCAAGACATTGTCTTTTTTATATTAGCACTGAGGACCAATTTCCCTGTCGGATCAAGCATTACAAAGGTTGCAATGTAACAAAGCTTTTCTCTCTCTTTCTCTCTCTCTGGCTTGTCTGTGATTTTGTTTCCTTCTTCCTTGTTGTGACAGCACAAGTGCCAGTCGAGTTGCTCTGTATTAAGAAAAGAGTGTTTTTATTATTATTTGAATTGTTATCGTTTTCGTCTACCTCAGCACCTGATCTTAGAAGGTGCCCAATTATTATAATGAAATGTTTCTCTTTTTTTGTAATTTGAATAAAAATGATTTAATTTGGATTAGAACTTTGCAAAGGTCTTTTGTCTTTTCCAGCGATTAGCTGTGTGTCTGTGGCCCTGCTTCCCATGTTAGTTGTGCCACGGATCCTAGCATCTGTCTGTTGATTTCGTTTTTTTTCTTTCCATGTAGGATCAGACACATCTTTTTGTAACATTTCAGTGTTTCTCTGATGGAGTGTGGGGGGAAAAAAATAAAAGAAATAAAAGAGATTTAAATGCTGCAGGTTTTATTCTCCATGTTGTCACTAAGTACATTTTGTGCCTTCGATAGTGAAAGATAATATTTTTTACATCCTACTAACAGTAGATTGTTTTGTAGTGAACATTTTTTTGTATTTTTATTTATGAGTCTCAGAAAAATAACAATGTTCAGTTGTATACCTTCAATCTGCAGTTAGAAAAATAAAATA